TAAATTGAAGTTCATCCAGAGGTGCATTAATACAAACAGTTATCATGAACAATATCTTGATGTGTATGTCCCTTTACGAATATATTGAAAGATATGAATGCATTGAACTCACAAAAACATCTAGTCAGGAAATGAAAAGTTGTTATGGTTTTTAATTTTTGTTAAAATTCGATTCTGTTGTTCAATATAGTGTACTGTATATTTGCAATTTGACAAGCCAATAAGAAATTTTCCAACTTTTAAGTAAAATTTTTGCAGTATGTTTTTTCTTTTGATTTAAAATCGGTCTGAATCTTGACGATTACTTGTTTTTTGTCATTAAATATTTTTGAGTATCGCTGACGGCCGGATTCAGAGAATACGTTGAAACTATCAAAAATTGCAAGTCTAATTCATTAGTATACTTATGTGTGTATTTCTAATTTGGTAGCTTTTTTTTAGAAATACTAGACATTATGGATAATAAGTTACCGTAAAGAAGAGAGTAGCAATTTAATTGGCGGACCATACTACTAGAAGGGTCACTACTTAACACTTCAACTTGTTTTTAAAACCAACGTAAGAGTAAGAACTTCGATACATTTTTGCCAATGAGTAATATGTACTTCCAAACAAAAATAGCAATTTCGCCCAACCTTCTTTAAACCTTCCTATAATGTAAACACAAACAAGAACAGCTGAAAATTGCCGGCTAAAAACAAATTTCATTTTGTCACTGTTTTGTTTACTTTTTCGTATTTTTTATACCGTTTGAGGTGAAAACCTGTTCCCCACAGTAACTGGCAATACAAATATACTATAATATAAGTATGCATGTATACTAACACATACATATATATGAGCACATATTAATGTGCATAAATGTTTTTATTGCTTCCAACAGCGATAAGAGGTCTAAATTGGATTTCCCAAATGATGCAAATTCTGTTCTCGCCGATAGCGATTGGATGCGATTATACCAAAATAGGCATAAGCATTTGTATATAGCATTTTGTGTAACTGCTGACGAACAGCTGTCAATGAAATGAGCAAATGAGATAAGAAAGCCGCAATAAACACATAAGGAATATTGTCGTGTACATATGTATGTATGTATGTAATATGCTATTGAATACGAAGGTTTTATACTCTAGCAATTTGATGCAGATATATGTTTAGGTGTTAACAAAACTTTATAATAAGCAAGTAAGGAAGGGCTAACCGAACTCTTGCAACTCGAAAGAATCATCCGCAGGTGTCTTCAGGCGTTGGTTAATTATATTGCAAAATGTTGTAGAGAATTTTACATCCATTATTCGAAGAAATTGTGTGTAAATAACAATCAATGTGGCACTTTATAGGTTTTCCTTTTCCATCTTCAAACACCGCCTTACTTTTTTGACAAGAAGCATATGTATGTATGTATGTATCAAGTTTCATCAAGATATCTTTTTACTCAAATTACACCTTGTATGGTCAGATATGGACGGATCAACTCAACCCAACATCGCTAAACTGAATATAGTCACTCACACATTGACCCGTATATTCGGTACAAAGTCTGCAAGACTAACAAAAATTTTTATATAAGTACAAGCCTTTTGAATGCCGTCTACGTTTCATGAGCAAATTCACATTTCCGAAAAGGAAGAAAACTCACCTTGCCATATTAGGTGAATACGGGAAGTGGTTAATGGTTAAAATGTGATCTTTGGCCAAATAAACGGTCACAAGTGTCGATCGGTGAGACGGCGCATTATCGTGCAACAAAGGCCAACTTTCATCTTCGCGATATTCGGACCGAGCACGTTACATACGGCGCACTAAATGCTTCAAAACTCCATGGTAGAATGCCGCATTAACTTTTTGGTAGGGTGGAAAAAATTCTTTGTGGACAATACCCTTGGAATCACTTTTGACTTCACCAAGCGCGGTTGTTTGGGCTTCCTCTAATCCGTGCCTTCCATTCAGCACTCTGGCGTTTCGTTTCGGGATCATATTGGAAACACGACGTTTCGTCATCAGTCACAATATTGTAAAGGAAGTTTTTGACTTCTTCAATGATGTCCTTAAAATGTTGGATTCTGAGCAATTTTTAGTCGTCAGTCAATTTGTGCGGAACAAACCGTTCACCCCTTTCGTAAGCCCCATGTAATAAATCGATGTTTTCTAGATGTTGAATTCCATTTCCATGAATTTCAATGATGATTTCGGCTGTTTCTTTAAGAATTCACGCACAGTTTCGATGGAATTTCCGGTTAACACGGATTTTGATAGGTCCTCATGTTGATCATCATTTATGTCCTCACGACCAGTTTGAAAACGTGGAAATCACTCGTGCACTCTGCTGCGGGATAGGCAAGCATCGCCATCAACTTGTTTCATCAGTTGAAACGTTTCAGTGAAAGTTTTATCAATTTTAAAACATAATCTAATGTTGACTCTTTGTTCGAAGCTCATTTTCGCAACGATAACACAAATATACTGACATTTAAAACGCAATAACTTCACTTCTAATCGAGGAAATTCTCACTGAACAATCGATAAAGATGGCAAATTCTAACGCATCAGTCGACATATAATGTTGCCAGCAGGGGGCGCTAGATTCTAAAAGTCCTATTTATGTACTTTGGAATGCTCCTTGTATGTACATGTGTTGCTGGAAGCTAGAGCACGAAAATCACTAATTGTTTTCACACATTTTCGGCATTAGACGGTCCATATATATATCCACTATTATTCTTTCATTTAATTTTGCTAAAATATCTTATACCTCGAATACCAAATATAAGGCCCACAAGATGTTTGAAATCGTACATAAGGTGTGGGGTTTTCGGGTAGTATTAACCTAATGTTATCCATCCGTTCCTCTCTAAGTTTCATTAAGCTAACTCATAATTGAACAATATAGAATTCATTATATTAAGTATACTGGGGGCATGGTTAGCATTGATCCGATTTTACCGTATTTTATTATTATTAGCAGGAAAATACGTTAACTAAGCCCTATTATTATGCCGCACAAATTCATTGCTATTTTCGGTAGTTGTAGTCTTTCTAGTACCGAATTTAATTCAAATTAATTTTGTCGTTCTTGAGATATAGGATCTCACATAAAGGTTGGCGGTGCAACGTCATTTGTCATTAGCTTTGTAGAATTTAAGATATACTATACATATGTTACAATACATTACACATATTAGGGGGCGCATCCAGGTCCACAGATTTCATTTGCAATACTGATCTATCGAAAGTGCCAAGGAAAAAGCGTAGCGAGATTCACCGAAATATCTTAATTTTTACTCAACTTACCGTTTGTCTGAATCAAAGACACAGCTATTATAACATTGTAACATTATGCTTGGGTAATAAAATTTTACTATTCTAATAGAAAATTTAGATTCATGGGAATTCGTATAAATTAATGATCTTTTATATTGGTAAATCTACCCATTATTACATATACTATATATATACATATGTATATGTGTACTATATTTACTTGAGCACAGTACTAAATAAATACCGTCCCTACATTTGTAAACAACAAATTGAGTTATTCTAGTTTCCGAATTAATTAGAAGCTTTAGGGTTAAGCTTAAGGTTGCTCAACTGCCTCCTTTAATAAAAAATGACAAAATTATCACTTTAATATATGAAAAAGAACAACCCTTATCGTGAAACCCAAATGGAATACAAAAGTATCTCAACTCGTGCTCGAAATAAATAAACTGAAGAAGACGACTGTAACTATCTTCTTATATCGGGTGATTTTTTTGAGGTTAGGATTTTCATGCATTAGTATTTGACAGATCACGTGGGATATCAGACATGGTGTCAAAGAGAAAGATGCT